TGCCTGTAATTCCGGCTACTCGGAAGGCTGAGGTGGAAGGATCGCCAGAGCCCAGCAGCTCGAGGCTGCAGTGGCCAGGCCACTGCACTCCATTCTGGGCGACAGAGTGAGACTCCAACTCAAAAATAAAGAAAAAAAAATGGCCAGGTGCAGTGGCTCACGCTTGTAATCCCAGCACTTTGGGAGACCAAGGTGTGAGGGTTCCTTGAGCCCAGGAGTTTGAGACCAGCCTAGGCAATATAGTGAAATTTCATCGCTACAAAAAAAATTTAAAATTAGCTGGGTTTGGTGGCGTGTGCTTGTAGTGCCAGCTACTTGGGAGGCTGAGGTGAAAGGATTGCCTGATCTCAGGAGGTTGAGGCTGTGGTGAGCAGTTGAGCCATGATCATGCCACTGCACTCCACCAGCCTAGGTAACAGAGTGAGATTCTGACTCATTCAAAAAAAGAAAACTGTGGAGTGTTAGCTTGTTAGCGTCTATGCTCCAGAATTTTTCAAAGACAGAAAACACTATGACACATATGTACAAGACACAGAAAGCTGAACAAAAAAATATATGAGTTGCGAAGAATATAAAAACATATTTTGTATTTTGGAATAGTGTGCTGTGGCAGAAGTCCAGTGTGCTGTGGCAAAAGTCCAGTAGTAAAAGGATGTTATTCAAAGGCCCATCCAAGGGTATCCTAGGGGCCTGTGAAATGCATGATTGAGAGATAAAAGTAGTAGCCATGGCTATGGAGTTCACTGTGGTGTTTCATTTAACTGTTGACTCTGGTAAGACCAGATATGATCATATGGGAATTCCCCTATTCTGTAGCTTCTTGAACAATCTTGGCAGATACAGTGGTATAACCAATGCTTTTGAACTATTTGTGATGAAGGACCCTTCAATTGTGGAAGGCATCTCTAAGGATCCACCACTGAAAGGAAAGGTTAGAAGAGGTGTAAGAAGAAGGCACTATTTTAGGCTCTTTCCTTTGGTATGCACTGGAGTGAGTACAAGGCAGAAGATAGTAGAAATCTCAAATGGTATGAAAAATATTGTAACCTTGGCTAAGTTTAAGCTAGTTAGGGAATTCTCAGCTACCTTCATCATTTTATAATTAGTGATAAATTACCCAATATGTAAATTAAATATCCTCTAAGAAGAAGAGAGGGGCACCTCTACATCTCTACATTTAAAAAAAAAAATAAAGACAGGATCGCATTATGTTGCCCAGGCTGGTTTCAAACTCTTGGCTCAAGTGATCCTCCTGCCTCAGTCTCCCAAAGGGCTGAGATTACAGATGCATGCCACCATGCCCAGCTATATGTTTTTAAAAAATAATTTCACATTTGGTATTTAAAATAAAATATTGAAGTTGTCCTCATGAGGAAATCAGAGATTTATTGCAATCAATTATACTCATTTTGAATTATGTATGTATAGGACAGGACATCATAATCCTTTAAATGCTTGGGGTCTGTATAAGATTTAAGACTGCTCTGGTAATTCATAAAGAAAAGATGCTGACTCCTCTCTTCCCTCTAGCCTGAAGAATGTCATTAGTTTTTCTGGGGGTCTGAGCTCATCTG